TTCTGCAAAGCCAGCAGCCACCCCTCCTCTCTCTCTCACTGCCGCTCGTGCTGCAGTGGGGGGGAGGGTAAGAAAGGGTGGTGGGAAAACAGTCAAGCATCTGCAGCTGCCACCCGCTGCTACCGTGGCACCTCCTGCTGCCGCCCCTGCCGCCACCTGCCCTTGTTTCTGCCGTCTGCTGCTGGGGCCTGCAGGTGCTGCCGTCGAGCCGCTGCTGTCCTGCTGCATGTTGCAGCCACTGAGCCTGCTCCTCAGGCGACCTACCGCCCCTACACCTTCTACTGCTTCTGCCTTGGCTGAGGGCGTGTTACAGCTGTATTTGCCACTCCTGCACCGGCTACTACTGCTCTTGCTTGCTTCTGTTTCTTCCACTGCACCTGTTGTACCCGTGCAGACTTTCTGCTACACACGAGTTTCCACTGTAGGCATTTAGGGGGTGTGTTGAAATGTATTTGTATACTTTCATATAAATGCCTACAGTAGCCTAGTGTAGTTATCTTAGTATCCTGCTAGGTGGTGTACCATTTGCCTAATTCCTTGCCTATATCTTGTATGCCCTCTACTATTGAACTCCTCTTTTGGCTTGCTCTTTTCTCTCGTCACTCTCGCCTAGGTCAAACCCCTAGGCCCCTAAACTATTATGTTTGACACAGCTCACCCAGGTTAGTGCAGGTATGTCTCTCCTGCAGCTCCGCCTTCACTAGGGCCAGCGCCTCAGTATCAGCAGTAGCAAAAACCAAGGCGTCGACGTACACGAGAACGTAGAACGGCGGCAAGGTAGTGTCAGTGCGTAGAAACAGCGACGGGTCAGCAGAGGAAGGAGCAAACCCAAGAGCCGCAAGTGTAGTCCTCAGTGTGTCGTCCCACTCGCGGGGCGCCTGGCGGAGACCGTAGACTGGCCGTCGGAGGCTCCACTGGGTACCAGGAGGAAACGACCCAGTGAATCCAGGTGGGCGGCGCAGCCAGATCTCTTCGTGAAGGCTGCCCTGCAAGAAAGCTGTGGAGAAGTCGAGGGAGTGCAGCTCGTAGTCCACAGGTGGGGGCAGGCCCCGGAGGAAGGGGAGGGAGGGACCTGGGTAGACCCGAGACAAGGGCACGGGAGGCCATACCTCGAAGACGAGGCAGGGAGGGGTGACCAAGGCGGCGGTGCCAAAGGAGAGTCTCGTGTGCCAAAGGACGACACGAGCAGGGGGCAGACGCAGGACTAGACCTGGACGCGGCAGCAAACACCTGACTAGACGCAGCTACCTGACCAGACGCAGAGACCGGAGGAGGCGCAGTAGTCAGTGTGTACAGACTCGACCCTGGCCGACGGGTGAACGTGGCCAGGTGACGGCCCGTCCGAGAGCAAGTGCAGTGGGTCACACGCTGACCTCCAAGGGTGAACTGGTCAACCCACGCATCCTGGAGGTCAGCTCCACTCACCAGGTTCGTAGAGAACGAGGGGAGGTGGAGTCCTGACAGCAAGCCCGACGGGGCCGCAGGACACGGTAGGACAGTGGAGGAGTGTGCAAGTACTGGGCCCCCTGAGGGGTCAGCAAGGGAGACCACAACAGGCCGACTGAGCGGCGTGAGCGTGGTGCTGTCTCTAAAGAAAGAGCGCGAAGCACCAGAGTCAAGTGTGAAGGTGTGAAAGGACTCAGTAGGTGCAGTACCTGAGAGAGGAGACGTACCAGCACCTGGAGCAGCAGACGCACTAGCACCTAGAGCAGCAGCCGCACTAGCACCTAGAGCAGCAGCCACAGTGCCCGGGTCGGGCGGGACACGCAGGTAACAGTCACCCTCAGTAATATCAGCAAGAGCATACATGGCAGCAAGGATAGCATCAAAGTCTAGATCAAAGATAGGCACATTCTGCAGAAGCAGATCATGCCAACGAGGAAGCTCAACAGCGTCAGGAAACTGGGTACGCCAAGCGTCAGTCAGGCGGCCGAAACAGCGCTGCGTGGTGTGTGGGAGACCACATACCTCCCCACTACGAGTGCCTGTGCGAAGAACGTACGTGCAGGGACCTGCACCCCCAGACCTCCCACGCCCAGCGTACCACTCACGAAGCTGCTGAACAGACGGGGTCTCACGGGTGCGCAGCTGCTGCTGACGCTGGCTGCCACCAAGGCCTCCACGCTGCGTGGCTGCACCGCAACCAGCACCACCTCCTCCGCTACCTCCACCACCGCTGCCGTCGCCTCCACCGCCTCCACCACCGCCTCCACAGCCTCCACTGCCGCCACCGACGCCCCCACCCCCGGGACCACCCCCACCACCACCTCCACCTCCTCCACCGCTTCCTCCACCGCCCCCTCCACCACCCTTGCTTCCCTTGCCCTTGCCAGTGCGGCGTCGCCCACTAGGGGCAGACGCTGCGCCGACCTCCTCAGTGCCAACGAGGTCGACAGCAGCAGCAGAGGCAACAGAGGGGAGAAGGGGGACAGGGGAACACCCCTCAAAGAAGGGGGTGCGACGGTCGCCGCGGGAAGCCCCAACAGCTAAGATACTCTTCTCAGCTGCAGCAAGGCGCTCCTCTAGCAAGTCGACAGTCAGCTCGGTAGGGCAAAGGGAGAGAAAGTGGTCCTTGACTGAGGAGAGAGAGTCAGGGAGGCGGGTGACTAGGTAGTAAAGGGTGATGTACATGGGGGGGGAGTTCGTTGGAAGAAACTCAGTGGGAAGGGCAGCGCGGTAGCGAGCGTCACTAGTGTGGAGGTGAGCAACTAGGTCAGCAACTGTGGCAAAGGCGGCAAGGTCAGGAAAAAGGTACGGCAGCATGAGGCGGCTGAGGGCAGCAGTGGTAGGGGAGGAATAGCGTGCAACTACAGCGTCGTACAGAGCCCTAGCACTCTTGTACTGACTAAAGTGTGCGCGCTCAGTAGACGGCAGGTGATTGCGCACAGCAAGACGAGCAGCAGCATCGCGCGTGAGCCACTGCGAGCGAACAGTACTGTCAGCATCAGCAGTAGGGGCAGTAGAGGCGCCAGACGTGAGATCGAACAGTGAGAGACCATCCTTGCTATCGCACTGTAGGAAAAGCTGCAGATCATCTAGCCAGACCTCAAAGTCAACAGCTCGACCCTCAGCATCAAAGGTAAGAACATTGAGACTAGCCATGACAGGAGAAGCAGCAGGCTAGCAGTAGCAGCAGTGCAACTCGGCTAAGCAGGCTAGGCAGGGCGGCGCAGCTCGGCAGGGCGGTGTGGCTCGGCAGCGCGGCGCTCTTACCAGGGGAGAGGCTGGGGCAGGGCCGGGGTAGGGCCGGGGCAGTTCAGGAGCAGGGCCGGGGCAGGGCAGGGGCAGGGCCGGGGCAGAGCCAGGCCAGGGCCGGGGCAGTTCAGGAGCAGGGCCGGGGCAGGGCCGGGGCAGTTCAGGAGCAGGGCCGGGGCAGCTCAGGAGCAGGGCCGGGGCAGTTCAGGAGCAGGGCCGGGGCAGGCAGAGCTGCGACAGGGCAGCAGCAGGGCCGGCGCAGGGCCGCGACAGGTTGGGGTAGGGCCGGGGCAGGGCCGAACTGGGCCTGACAGGGCCTGACGGGGCCGAGAACTGGGCCTGACGGGGCTGTACGGGGCCTCTAACGGGGCCTGACAGGGCCTTACGGGGCCGTACGGGGCCTAACGGGGCCTTAAACGGGGCCTGACGGGGCCTTACGGGGCCTTACGGGGCCTTAAACGGGGCCTGACGGGGCCTTACGGGGCCTTACTGGGCCTTACGGGGCCTTAAACGGGGCCGTAAACGAGGCCTTACGGGGCCTGACGGGGCCTTACGGGGCCTTACGGGGCCTTACGAGGCCTTACGGGGCCTTAAACGGGGCCGTAAATGGGGCCTTACGGGGCCTTACGGGGCCTTACGGGGCCTTAAACGAGGCCGTAAATGGGGCCTTACGGGGCCTTACGGGGCCTTATGGGGCCTTACGGGGCCTTAAACGGGGCCGTAAATGGGGCCTTACGGGGCCTGACGGGGCCTTACGGGGCATGAAACGGGGCCGTAAACGGGGCCTTACGGGGCCTTACGGGGCCTAACGGGGCCTTACGGGGCCGTAAACGGGGCCTGAAGGGGACTTACGGGGCCTTACGGGGCCGGAAAAGGGGGCCTTACGGGGCGGGCGCTGGCTCTAAGGGCAGGCGCAGGGGCCGCTACGGGCCTCGAAGGGAAGGCGCGACGCGCGCGTCGAGCAGGCAGTGAAGAATTTCAGTGGTGGGCCCTTTTTAAAAATTCTCGAAACTAGCTCTATACCATGTGAGAAGGATTGACGAAAGAATGAATAAACTAGGAAATGAGATGGGTACAAGTAGGAAACACATAAGTGTTGTACCCTCTAAGAGCTACCCCACTACAGCCTAAATAGACCATAGCAGATATAAGTTTGACAACTGGAGCTGGAGGTACTTGAGGTACTGGAGGTGCTGGAGCTGCTGGTCCTGGCGGTGCTCGTACTAGAGGTGCTGGAGCTGCCGGAGCAGGTGGTGCTGCTAGTGATGGAGGTGCTAGAGGTGCTACTGGAGCTACTGGCACTGGAGGTGCTGGAGGTACTGCTGGTGCTGGAGGCGCTGGAGCTGGAGGTACTAGAGGTACTGGAGGTGCTGGAGCTGTTGTTCCTGGAGGTGCTCGTACTAGAGGTGCTGGAGCTGCCGGAGCAGGTGGTACTGCTGATGCTGGAGGCGCTGGAGCTAGAGGTACTGGAGGTGCTCGTACTAGAGGTGTTGGAGCTGCCGGAGCAGGTGGTGCTGCTGGTGCTGGAGGTGCTACTGGAGCTGCTGGCACTGGAGGTGCTGGAGGTACTGCTGGTGCTGGAGGCACTGGAGCTGGAGGTACTGGAGGTGCTGGAGCTGCTGGTGCTTGGGGTGCTGGTGCTGCTGGTGCTGGAGGAGCTGGAGCTGCTGGTTCTGCCCCGCGCCGACTTTTTTTCTACCATCAGCCATAGTCGTCCCTGCCGCCGCCTGACTCGGTCCTTCGCCAGTTTCTTAGTCTTCCGTCTTCCATTCGCCTCACTCCACCTCTCCTGTGTTCACCGACAGTCCAGTCTCCGCCACAGCTACTGTCTGGCTCCTCGCTACCTGCTCCTGCTCCACACACAGAGGTGACCGAGTCCCTGACTGAGCGTCGTGAGCCTGAGACTCGTGCTTCCACAACTGTTCTTCCTCGTCGTGTCGCCCGTCCTCGTCCTCCTGCTGTCCCAAGCACTCACGGTATGGCACTTCGTCCTTCCTCTGTTCCACAGTGTGTTGTCCTGCCTGAGCCTCCCACGTCCTCTCTTCCGCACGTTCCTGACCCTGAGTCTGACCTTGCTCGTGCTGCCAGTCCTGCTGTCACTCGTCTCCTTGCTACTGTCGTCACTGACCTTGACCTTGAGTCTACTGGAGCGTTTGCCCTAGTCACTGAGCTAGTCGACTTTGCAGCTAGGAGTCGACTCGACTACGTCGCGAGTCTTATTACTAAGTCTGAGTCTGTCTGTCCTCTGTCCGTCGGGGGTGAGCCTGCCCTTAGCAGTGACGTCCTTGAGGACAGACAGTTTGAGCTTAAGTGTCTTGCGGCAACTTTACCTCGTTTCGCATCCATGCTGCTTTGCCCTGAGGGAGACCCAGATGCACTTGACATCTCTTATGCTGAGGCGATCACGGGTGAGTACTCCTCTCAGTGGCAGAAGCCATAGACGCAGAGATGGCTTCCTGGAAGTCCACAGGCACCTACGTCGACGAGGTTCCTCCTCCTGGGGCGAACATAGTCGATGGCATGTGGATTTTCAGAGTGAAGCGGCCGCCGGGTTCTCCGCGACTGAGGCCCCTCTGCAGACTCTTCACATAGACGTGTGGGGCCCAGCCCGCGTCCGTGGACAGGGTCACGAGCGCTACTTCCTCCTGGTCGTTGACGACTACTCGCGTTACACCACAGTCTTCCCCTTGCGCAGCAAGGGTGAGGTCACTGAGGTGTTGATCGACTGGATCCGCGGTGCTCGTCGCCAGCTCAGTGAGAGTTTCGGCTCAGACCTTCCTGTTCTGCGCCTGCACTCGGACAGAGGTGGGGAGTTTTCCTCCGACCTCCTGAGAGCCTTCTGTCGTTCGGAGGGCATCCGCCAGACGTTCACGCTTCCGGCCTCCCCGCAGCAAAATGGGATTGCTGAGCGCCGCATTGGCATGGTCATGGACGTCGCTCGTACGTCCATGATCCATACGGCTGCTCCCCATTTTCTGTGGCCGTTCGCGGTTCAGTACGCGGCGCATCAGATCAACCTTCAGCCTCGTGTCTCCTTGCCGGAGACCACACCTACTCTGCGGTGGACGGGGAAGGTTGGCGATGCGTCCGCGTTTCGTGTCTGGGGATCTCGAGCTTTTGTCCGCGATACTACTGCGGACAAGCTGTCCTCCCGTGCCGTTTCCTGTGTCTTCCTTGGCTTCCGTCCTGACGCACCCGGGTGGCAGTTCTACCACCCCACCTTGCGTCGTGTTCTGTCCTCTCAGGACGTCACGTTCGACGAGTCGGTGTCGTACTACCGTCTCTTTCCCTACCGCACTGCCTCTCCCCCTCCCCCGACGCTCTTCCTCGCACTAGGTACTCCCCTGGTAGACCCCCTCCCCCCCCAGGGTCCTGCCCCCTCAGGTGTGTCCCAGGTAGACCCTGCCGAGCCGGTCAAGGTAGCTGTCGACTCAGGTGCTGCTAGGGGTGCTGAGACTGGGGGTGCTGAGACTGGGGGTGCCGAGACTGGGGGTGCTGAGTCTGGAGGTGCTCTGGGTGTCCCGTCGCGGCGGGAGCCCCTCTCTCCACAGCGGCTTCGTGAGTGGTACTCTCGGCGCTGTCGAGGTGCTGCTGGTGCTGGAGCTGCTGGAGATGCTGGAGGTGCGACTGGAGCTACTGGAGGTGCTGGCGCTGCTGGAGGTGGTGCTGGTGCTGGAGCTGCTGCTGGTGCTGGAGCTGCTGGAGGTGCTGCTGGTGCTGTAGGTACTGGAGGTGCTCCTGGAGCTACTGGAGGTGCTGGCGCTGCTGGAGGTGGTGCTGGTGCTGGAGCTACTGGAGGTGCTGCTGGTGCTGGAGCTGCTGGAGGTGCTGCTGGTGCTGTAGGTGCTGGAGGTGCTACTGGAGCTGCTGGAGGTGCTGGTGCTGCTGGAGGTGGTGCTGGTGCTGGAGCTGCTGGAGGTGCTGCTGGTGTTGGTGCTGGAGCTGCTGGAGGTGCTGCTGGGACTGGAGACCCTGGGGCTGAGGGTACCGGTTCTGTCTCTGCTGTTTCTCGAGGCGCTGCGCGGCCGCGGCCGTACTACGTTCCCCTCCTTCAGCAGGTTCTTGGCTCCCCGCCTTCTCCTGGTCCTCCTCCTCCTTTCCTGAGTCCACCGCTTGTCCAGTCTCAGTCGCAGTTGCAGCCGGCCCCTCCCCTGCCTGGTCCTTCTCCTTACTCTGGTCCGACTAGAGGTCTTACGGAGCGTCGTGAGCCTGAGTCGCGTCCTCTGTCGCCTGCGTCTCGTTCTGCGTCGCCTGTCCGCACTGTTAGCGCTGGTCGTGTTTCGCGTCCACGTCTTCCTCCTGTCCCAGGCACTCACTCTTTGACACTGCGTCCTTCTACTGCTTCACAGAGTGTCCCTCTGCCCTCTCCTCCTGCGTCCTCTCTTCCTGACGGTCCGGACCCGGAGTCTGACTCCCTTCGTGCTGCTATTCCTACTGTCACGCGCTTTCTCGCCACTACTGTCACTGACCCTCTGTTTGAGTCCTCTGCTGCGTCTGCTCTTGTTGCTGAGCTTGTTGACTTTGCTGCAGCCTGTCGCCTAGATTACGCCACTAGTCTTGTTGCTGCGTCTGCGTCTGTCTGTCCTCCGTCCGTCGGGGGTGAGTGTGCTCTTGGCACAGACGTCCTTGAGGACAGGCATGAGGACCTTGAGTGCTTTGCCGCTGCTTCACCTCATCTCGTGTCCATGCTGCTTGCCCCTGAGGGAGACCCGGATGCACTAGACATCCCGACCCCGCGCTCTTACGCAGAGGCGATAGAGGGTCCCTACTCCTCTCAGTGGCAGGCAGCCATGGACGCAGAGATGGCTTCCTGGAAGTCCATAGGCACCTACGTAGACGAGGTTCCCCCACCTGGGGCGAACATTGTCAGTGGCATGTGGATCTTCAGGGTGAAGCGGCCGCCGGGTTCTCCGCCTGCCTTCAAGGCGCGTTACGTTGCATGTGGCTTCAGTCAGCGACAGGGAGTTGACTTCTTTCAGACCTTCTCCCCTACCCCGAAGATGACCACTCTTCGGGTACTGCTGCACGTTGCTGCTAAGCGTGACTACGAGCTCCACTCGCTTGACTTCAGCACAACCTTCCTACAGGGCAGCCTGCACGAGGAGATCTGGCTGCGCCGCCCACCTAGCTTCACTGGGTCGTTTCCTGCTGGTACCCAGTGGAGCCTCCGGCGGCCAGTCTATGGTCTCCGCCAGGCACCTCGTGAGTGGCACGACACGCTCAGGACGACTCTTGCTTCTCTTGGTTTTGCTCCTTCCACTGCTGACCCTTCTCTGTTCTTATGCACTGACACTACTCTGCCGCCGTTCTACGTTCTCGTGTACGTAGACGACCTTGTCTTTGCTACTGCTGACACTGAGGCACTCGCCCACGTGAAGTCCGAGCTGCAGAAGAGACACACGTGCACAGACTTGGGTGAGCTGACAAGTTATCTTGGCTTGCGGATCACCCGGGACAGAGCACAGCGCACCATTACCTTGACTCAGTCACACATGGTGCAGCAGGTCCTTCAGCGCTTCGGCTTCACGTACTCCTCGCCACAGTCCACTCTTCTGCCTACCGGTCACTCGCTCTCAGCTCCACCTTCGGACGAGTCCGTAGAGCCGAGTGGCCCGTATCCAGAGCTTGTGGGCTGCCTCATGTACCTGATGACTTGCACACGACCTGACCTCGCATACCCTCTCAGCCTTCTGGCTCGTTACGTGGCTCCCGGCAGGCACCGAAAGGTGCACTGGGATGCTGCGAAGAGGGTGTTGCGATACTTGTGCAGTACATCGGGCATGGGGCTCGTGCTTGGAGGACGGGCTCGAGTTGTCCTCACTGGTCACGCTGACGCCTCCTGGGTTGACGACTTGGCTACGCAGCGGTCGTCACAGGGTTACACCTTCAGCCTTGGCTCCGGTTCTGTCTCCTAGCGGTCTACCCGCTCTTCTTCTGTTCTCAGCTCCAGTTGTGAGGCTAAGATCTACGCTGGGGCCATGGCTGCACAGGAGCTTCGCTGGCTCACCTACCTGCTGACCGACTTGGGAGAGGCGCCTCGTTCTCCTCCAGTTCTGTACGTCGACAACAAGGCCATGCTGGCCTTGTGTCAAGAGCACAGACTGGAGCACAGAACGAAGCACATTGCTCTGCGCTACTTCCTTGCTCGAGAGTTGCAGCAGCGTGGCCAGCTTCGTCTTGCTTACGTGGCCTCTCAGGCCAACACTGCTGATGTTTTCACCAAGGCACTTCAGCCTTGTGATCATCAGCGTTTCTGTACTGTGTTAGGCCTTGTACCTACTGTGCCTCACTTGTTGACTTCTTGACTCTGCTTGTACTGTACTCTATATACTTATACCTGCATGCTTACACTTGCTAGGTTGTATTCACTGTACTGTTTGCTTTCCTTTATATAACTCTGCATGTGAACTAGCCTTATGGCCCTTTGCTTGTGCTCAGACTGTGTGGTGACTTTGTGATCCACCCTGAGCTTGCTTTGCTTTTCTTGACTGGTCTTGTGACCTCTTGTTCTCCCCCACTTTGCCTATGGGGGTGTGTCAAACTTATATCTGCTATGGTCTATTTAGGCTGTAGTGGGGTAGCTCTTAGAGGGTACAACACTTATGTGTTTCCTACTTGTACCCATCTCATTTCCTAGTTTATTCATTCTTTCGTCAATCCTTCTCACAATAATGTCACAATTATATTCTGACACTCGGCCGGCCCTCTTAACAACCCCCAAGTCCTCACCCTCAATTCAACCACCCCCTTAATCTCACCCCCCTTTATCAATGTAACCCAGGGTTCAGCTTATGTGAATTGGACAAGTCAAGAAGTGCTAGCAATTTGGGCTGGCCAGAGGGGAGGTGACAGGAACAGCGATCCAGAAGGCAGTGTAGAAACGATGATTTGGATTTTTAATGCTCATATTTCTTACCTTTCATATACACAAAGAATGGTTTGCAGAATTTTTTTCTCCGTTGAACACTGAATGATCAGCGTTTTCTTTCAGTTTTGTACACTACTTCGCAGCGCGTTTTTTTTTTTTTTTTTTTTTTGCAGTCCGCGGTGATTCGTCAAAGTAGAGCAGCGCAGCGCAGGGCAGAGCAGGGTGGGAGAACCCCGTAGGTGCATAGCAAGTAATCAGCAAGAGAGCTCCAGCGTGGCATGGAGGGAGCAGGTGCAGCAGGTAATGAATGAAGACCCGCACTTGAGCCTCCCCCACTTCCCCCAACATCACGGTGCCTTGAGGTGTGGGCTGCACCATGGAGTAATGGTGGTCGTTGGGCATTGCTGTGTCCGCATACCGAGGGCCATCCACCTGCCACGTGTCCAGCAATGTTGCTGCCCCTGCAGGTAATGCTGCCAGCTCAGCGGATCGTGCCACTCTTGCTCTCTCCCTGGCTTTTCCACCCTCTTTGGAATCCCGAGGTAATACCTGCAAGCTCGAATCAAGATATAACACCTTCTCTATCCCTCCTCCGCTTCTCCTTCCTTCCCCATCAGCACCTGCCTCTTGTATGCCTCCTGATTTCCCTGCCTCTAATCTCTCGACTCCTCTCCCCTCTCCGCCCACGCCTCTCCTCTCGCCACCTCCTCCTCTTCCCTCCCCCTCCGCTCCCCCCTCCCTGCACTACACACTTCAGCAGAGCATTGATTGCCATAACAACCCTATTGGAACTGGGACCAGGGTGCCACAACTTACATCGGTCCCCCGCCACCGGAAAAGACGGGATAGTTTGGAAAATAACCCTTCCTTTTGCGGGCGCAGCTGCAAGTGCCCAGAGTGCGAATTTCTCGAGGTGCACTCGGAGCGCCTTGAGGGGCTGGCGGCAGAAGGAAGCTGCCCAGTAGCCTCCTTCAAAGAGAGTGACGTCAGCAGTGGTGGAGATTTCGGGGAAGGCCTCCAATCGGTTGGTGGTGCTGCTGCGATGGCTGGTTGGGAGGGGGGGGCGGAGAGGGGGGGAGCAGAGGGGATTGAGAGGGAGGCAGGGGGAGGAGAGGGGGGGGAGACATAAGGAGAGAGTAGAAACGAAGGACAGGGGTGGGGGCGAATTAATCAAGCTCACTCCTGTCCGCCCGGGCCGTGAGCAGGAAGTGCAGGCAGGTGCCCCTACCTGGGGAATACCTCTGAATGTTCAACCCCATTCTACCCCAATCAACCCAAGTCAAGCCGATTCAGCTCCATTGAACCCCAATCAAGCCCACTCAACCATAATCAAGCCCAATCAACCCCGTACAACCCCATTCAAGCCCACTCAAGCCCATTGACGAACGTACATGCAGCCAAATTCCCCATCCTTGTAGATCCCATCGATCCAGAGGAAGTTGATTCGCAGCATGCGGCTGCTGCTGTCACGCGCGTGGAACACCAGGCTGTCCCGCCACCGCTTCACACCCCTGTCCGCCTGGGCGGTGAGCAGGAAGCTCAGATGTGCCGCCAGGAATCGCTGGTGGCTGTCACCCACAATGCTCATCTCATGGATACCCCTCTCGTGTAACGCGCCTATCCACTCGGATGGGGGAAGCTCTCGGGGCGAGCACCGGTTGAAGACCCACCTGGGGAGGAGCGGGGAGGGAGGATGGCATGGGGGGAGTGGGGAAGGTGGGAGGGGTGATTGAGGCGCCTCAAAAGACGATTTTTGGGGCGGCCCATAAGATAAGACCATCCACACCCACACGGCCATACACACTGCCCATCCACACCCATCTGCACCCATCTAGACAAGACCCAGCTTCACTGATCGACACCCATCCCCGCGCACATACCTGAGTGACCCAACTGCTTTCACCACCCATCGCCCTGGCACTGACGTCCCCACACACGGGGAATCCAGCCAATCCTCTGCCGCCTCCTGCTCCTCATCCTGCCTCTTGCCTGCTGCTTCTGCATGAGTGGCGGCTGTGGTGGTGCTACCGCTGTTACCCTTGCTGCTGCCACCGCTGCTGCTGCTCCTGCTGGTGTCAATGCTGCTGCTGATACCAGGACTGCTGGTTCTCGCCAAAGCTTCACCACGTGGCGTGATTGTGATTGGCCGGGAGACGAGGCTGTGCTGGTGCGTGCGGTTGAAGTGGTGCGCAAAGGCTGCGGAAAATTTGAGATTGGCGCACTCCACGTGCAGCGTCGCCCTGCAAGGAGGAGCAGGGAGGGGCATGGGCGGCCCATAGGGTATGAGAGGGCAAGGTGAAGGAGGGAGCGACTGGAACGAAGGTGGAGGGGAAGGTGAGGTTGGCGAACCCCACGTGTCCCGAAGGTGGCCCTGGGTCGGGCTAGGGTTAGGTTGAAGTCGTCCCTTTTTGGCGATGAACAACCAATGAGACAAAACCAGAATTTTCGCGAACAGCAGCATCTCCCTATAAAATGAAACTCGACCAGTCAACCCCCCACCCGCCCAAAATTGCATGCCAACTGAAACAGTGAATTTTTTGTAAATTTCTCGACGCGCCCATGAAAGATGCAACTTTCGACAGAGAAACTTGTGATTCAAAACCTGCCCTTTCTACCTACCCATCTGGTTTTGCGAAGCTAGAGGAGCAAAGCAAAGGGGTTGGGAGGGATTCAAAGGTGGTGCCAAGGATTGGCAGGGATATGGACGTGGTGCGAAGGAGGAGACAACAGACGAGCACATTGATGAGGAGTAGATTAAGTACCTCACATTAAGGAGCCTCGGGATTTCACTCACCAGTAATCGCCAAGGCCCCACACGCGATACGGCACTCTAAACTCCGTGCATTGCGGGGGGTCTAGACACCTAATGTCCCCGTGAGCTAGCGCGGCGCCTCTTAAAGTCAGAGCTAAGTCGCGCTTCCACAAGCTCTCCTTGACCGCCTTCCCCGGCACCTGCTCCCAGCGCGCGGGCGCGAGGTGACTTTTGAGTCGACTCAAAAGTCACCTGCTCCCAGCGCGCGGGCGCGCACACGGAGACGCGGAAGGAGCAGCGCTGCCCGCGCTGACACGTGGGGCAGCCTGGATCACCACTCCCGCAGGGGACGGGGAGGAATAGTGTGCAGAGACAGATGCGCGTGTGAAGCAAGGGAGGGTGAACACGGGGTTGCTTAAGGGAATTTAAACGGGAAGGGTCGCATTGCATGAAAGACTTTTTTTGGGCGCCTTGAAATCTCCTCAGAGAGGAGGTGACGAAATCTACCGAGTCATGTGACTATGCGAAGTGAGGGGGCAGGGGGAAAGGAAATGCGATGAGCGGAAGGAACCAGGACGGTGAGGTGCCCGGGCGAGGCAACTCGTCCAGTCCAGTCCACTCCAGTCCACTCCAGTCCAGTCCAGTCCAGTCCAGTCCAGTATACTCGCTGTCAATCTTCGAGGCGTCTCGCAACTCGAGGCGTCTCGCAACTCAGATTTCACATGCAATTGAACGTTTCCTATTCTTGAGGCCGCTCAGATATTTTCAGGTCGCGCCTACTGGTTCAAAGCTCTCAACTCATTTTTCCCACACTTTCCAGAATCTCACCTCCTCAGGACGTCCAGCATACTCGTCGTCTGGGCTGCGCTACGCTGCCATCGGAAACGCTGGAAGCAACGCGAATGGCGGTAGCACCAGTAGCGCCAGCGCCAGCAGCGGCAGCGCCAGTGGCGGTACTAGCGCCGGTAGCGTTAGCGCCATTACTAACGGCGGCGGCGCCAATAACGGCGTTATCTCCAGTTGCGTCTGGATTGTGGGCGACAAGCAGCGGCTTTCGCAGCTGCATGGGGAAAAGAGGGCCCCATTCCCCGCCACGTAGCCTTCCACTCGATCCCCGTGCTGCCGCCAATCCCACCGCGCTGATGCTTCCCGCTCCCGCATCCGGTCCGGTCACCCATGGCGGTAACGATTCGGTTATAACGAGTACGAGGAGGCATAGGATCATGATGGAAACGAGCACGTAGTGCCCAATCCAGAAAAGACCCCAATCGAGGGCTCTTCTCCTCGTTTGTAAAACCTCCCGTTTTAATACCGAAAGTCGTCAACATGTGCGAAAGCGCACGAGAGACACGCGACAGGGGAGACGCTGACGACGTTGATGGCAGCACGGGAAGTGGCATGCGACGAACGCGAAGTGAGCTGCGACGCTCGTGACACAGAGTCCGCAATCGCAGTGCGCGTTTCAAGATCGATCGACTCTGAATGATACACGGCGATATGATACCCATGATGCCTACCAGGCACCTGATATGAAGCGAGAAAGAATGGCGCCTCGAGAATAACTTAATAGGTCGGGCTGTGTCCGAGAATCTTCTGAAGACACTTGGCGACTAAAGTTTCATCTGAAGCTATTAAAACAATTGACGTCATCCTTTGCGAAGCTCAAGAACAGCTTGTCCCTGAGCGAAATTCGCGGCGAGCGCTAGAACCGGCCTTGATAGTTTCTGGTGTAGCGTGTATGGGGTAAACGGAAACAGACCCTCTCACGAGTTGCTTCGTTTGCGGGATATCAAAGAACAGGGTGCACGACAGCTAACAAACCTACACGACTGTTAAAAAACACCAGCCACCTCACCTGTGAATCAATGACCACTGCTATGCTGTGTGAGCACTGCACAGGAGAAACCCACCAGAATCTCAGGACCCTTGAGGTAATGTCCCCTTGTCAAAATGTTATAGTGCTTACAATGTGTAGGCTGTAGGGGGGTAGCCCATAAGGGATACAACCCAATAAGGGTTACTACTTGTACCCAACTTTCTGTTCAATGCATTCATTCTCGTTCCGCCCTTTGCAGCCCGCGCGCTGCCATTTGCAGCTCGCGCGCCGCCTTTTGCAGCCCGCGCACCGCCCTGCTGCTGCCCGCCCTGCTGCTGCCCGCCCTGCTGCTGCCCGCCTTGCCTTGCCAGCGCGCCCCCTTGCTGGCCGCCGCACCACATTTTGCAGCCCGTGCGCCACCCGTTTGCAGCACGCTCGCCGCCCCTTGCAGCCCGCGCGCGGCCCTTTGGCAGCCCGCTCACCGCCCTCTTGCAGCCCGCGCGTCGCCCCTTGCAGCCCGCTCGCTGCCCCTTGCAACCCGCTCGCCGCCTTTTGGGCAGCCCGCTAGCCGCCCTTTTGCAGCCTGCTCGCCGCCCCGTGCAGCCCGCGCGCCGCCCTTTGCACCCGTGCACCCCCCTGCTGCTGCCCGCCCTGCTGCGCACAGCCCTGCTGGCTGGCGCCCTGCTGCGCGCCGCCCTGCTGCTTGCGCCGCCCGGCTGCTGCCCACCCTGCTGCGTGCAGCCCTACTGGCCGGCGCCCTCCTGCCCGCGCCGCCCTGCTGCTGCCCGCCCTGCTGTGCGCCGCCCTGCTAGCCGACGCCCTACTGCCCTCGCGCCACCCTGCTGGCCAAACCGCCCTGCCCTAGCCGTGCGCCCCGCCCAACCCAGGTATAGAGGCTGCTGCTCTAGGTGCTAGTGAGTCTGCTCTCCCTGGTACTATGCCTGCTGAGGCCTTGCACACCTTTACGCTTGACTCAGGTGCTTCCCGCTGTTTCTTTCGTGACAGTACCACCCTCACTCCTCTCTCTGCACCTGTTCCGGTCAGACTGGCTGACCCCTCAGGGGGCCCAGTTCTTGCCTGTTCCTCCAGTGTTCTCCCGTGTCCGGCGGTTCCGTCCGGCTCACTCTCAGGTCTTCACCTCCCCTCGTTCTCTACGAACTTGGTGAGTACCGCTGCCCTCCAGGATGCTATGGTCACTACCACCACTCCTGGGGGTCGGCGTGTGTCAATCTGCACGTGTACACGGACGGGCCGTCACCTGGCCACGTTCACCCGTCGGCCTGGGTCGAGTCTGTACACACTGACTGCTGCGCCTCCTCAGGTATCTGCGTCTGCTCAGGTGTCCGCGTTAGGTCCAGTAGCAGCCCCCTGCTCGTGTCGCCTCCTGTCGCACCAGACTCTCCTATGGCACCACCGCCTTTGTCACCCCTCCCTGCCACGCCTTCGTGGCATGCACTCCCGCCTCCTTGTCTCTAGTCTTCCCAGGTCTCTGCCTCCCCTCCCGCCCTCGCCTGCCCCGCCCTGCCTTCCTTGCGTCGAGGGGCGGCAGCACGCCGCTCCTCACTTCTCGTCGTTTCCCCCGACGACTGCTCCGCTGCAGACTCTCCACATGGACGTGTGGGGCCCAGCCCGCATCAGTGGACAAGGCCGCAAGCGCTACTTTCTGCTGGTTGTTGATGACTACACGCGTTACACCACTGTCTTCCCCTTGCGCAGCAAGGGTGAGGTCCCTGATATCTTGATCCCTTGGAACCGTGCAGTCCGTCTCCAGCTCCGCGAGCGGTTCCACGAGGACCTTCCTGTCCTGCGTCTGCACTCTGACCGAGGTGGTGAGTTCTCCTCCGACCTCTTTCGGGACTTTTGCTGTGGGGAGGGCATCCTCTAGTCGTTCACGCTTCTGGCCTCCCCGCAGCGAAATGGGATTGCTGAGCGTCGAATTGGCTTAGTCATGGAGGTCGCTCGTACCTCCATGATCCATGCGGCTGCTCCCCATTTTCTGTGGCCGTTTGCGGTCCGGTACGCTGCGCATCAGCTCAACCTCTGGCCCCGTGTCTCCTTGCTGGAGACCTCACCTACACTGCGTTGGACGGGGAAGGTTGGCGATGCGTCGGTGTTCCGGGTCTGGGGCTCTCGTGCCTTTGTTCGCGATACTTCCGCGGACAAGCTCTCCTCCCGCGCTATTCCCTGCGTCTTCCTTGGCTTTCCCCCTGACGCGGCTGGCTGGCAGTTTTACCACCCCACCTCACGCCGTGTCCTCTCCTCTCAGGACATCATGTTTGACGAGTCGGTTCCCTTTTACCGTCTCTTCCCCTACCGCACTACCCCTCTCTCCCCCCAGCCACTCTTCCTTGCTCCAGGCCCCCCTCCGGTAGACCCCCTCCCCCCACAGGGTCCTGCTCCCTCAGGTGTGTCTCAGGTAGACCCACTCCCCGGTACTGTGCCTATCGAGGTCGCTGTAGACTCAGGTGCTGCTAGAGGTGCTGCGTCTGGGGGTGCTGCGTCTGGAGGTGCTGAGCCTGCAAGTGCGGAGTCTGGGGGTGCTGAGCCTGATGGTGCGGGGCCAGGGGGTGCTGTGTCTGAGGGTGCGGAGTCTGGGGGTGCTGAGCCTGGAGGTGCGGAGCCTGGGGGTACTGAGCCTGAGAGTGCGGAGCCTGGGGGTGCTGCGACTGAGGGTGCGGAGTTTGGGGGTGCTGAGCCTAGGGGTACTGCGTCTATTGGAGGTCCTGTTGGTACCTCGCCACGACTGTCTCCCCGGCGGGAGCCTCTTTCACCGCAGCAGCTGCGCGAGTGGTTTGCTCAGCGCACACGCCTTAGGAGTGGAGCTGCAGGAGCTGGAGGCTCTGCCGCTGGAGGCACTAGAGCTGGAGGTGCTGGAGCTACTGGTCCTGGAGGTGCTGGAGTTACTGCTGGAGCTGGAGGTACCAGAGGCGCTGGAGCTGGAGGCACTGGCACTAAAGGCGCTGGAGCTGGAGGCACTGGAGCTGGAGACTCTGGAGCTGGAGGCACTGACGCCGGCGGCGCTGGAGCTGGAGGAGCTGGAGCTGGAGACTCTGGCGCCGGAGGCGCTAGAGATGGAGGCACTGGCGCTGGAGGCGCTACAGTTACAGCCTCTGGAGCTGGAGGCACTGGCGCTGGAGGCCCTGGAGCTGGAGGAGCTGGAGCTAGAGACCCTGGAGCTGGAGGTGCTGGTGCTGGGGGTGCTGGAGCTGGAGGTGCTGGTGCTAGAGGCACTGTTCAGCAGCGCCCGTTTTTCGTTCCACCGCAGCCGTCGTCTCTGCTGCCACATGACTCGGTCCTTCGCCAGGTTCTTAGTCTCCCGTCTTCTGCTGGCCTTCCTCCTAGCTTACTGAGTCCACCTCCTCACCAGTCGCAGCCATCGTTACGGTCAGACTCCCCACTGCCTGCTCCTTCTCCTTACGCTGAGCAAACAGACTCTTTTACAGAGCGTCGTGAGCCTGAGTCTCGTCCTGCCTCACCTGTTCACACTGTTCGCACTGGTCGTCGTGTTCCTCGTCCGCGTCCTCCTCCTGTCCCCAGCACGCACCATATGGCACTTCGTCCTTTCTCTGTTCCACTGCGAGTTCCCCTGCCATCTCCTCCTGCGTCCTCCCTTCCTGACGTTCCTGACCCAGAGTCTGACTTAGCTCGTGCTGCTAGTCCTACTGTCCCACATCTTCTAGCCACTGTTGTCACTGACCCTTCGTTGGAGTCCACTGCTGCGTCTGCTCTAGTTGCCGAGCTTGTTGACTTTGCTGCCGCCTGTCATCTCGACTACGCCACTAGTCTTGTTGCTGAGTCTGAGTCTGACTATCCTCCGTCCGTCGAGGGTGAGTGTGCTCTTGGCATGGACGTTCTTGAGGACAGGTAGGAGGACTTTGAGTGTCTTGCAGCTGCTGTACCTCATCTCGTGGCCATACTGCTTGCACCTGAGGGAGACCCGGATGCACCAGACATCTCGACCCCGCGCTCTTACGCAGAGGTGATTACGGGTCCCTACTCCTCTCAGTGGCAGACAGCCATGGACGCAGAGATGGCACCCTGGAAGTCCACAGGCACATACGTCGACGCAGTTCCCCCTTCTGGGGCGAACATAGTCGATGGAATGTGGATTTTCAGGGTGAAGCGGCCGCCGGGTTCTCAGCCTGTCTTCAAGGCTCGTTACGTTGCACGAGGCTTCAGTCAGCGACAGGGAGTTGACTTCTTCCAGACCTTCTCCCCCACCCCGAAGATGACCACTCTTCGGGTGTTGCTGCACGTCGCTGCTCAGCGTGACTACGAGCTGCACTCTCTTGACTTCAGCACAGCTTTCTTGCAGGGCAGCCTGCACGAGGAGATCTGGCTGCGCCGCCCACCTGGCTTCACTGGGTCGTTTCCTGCAGGTACCCAGTGGAGCCTCCGGCGGCCAGTCTACGGTCTCCGCTAGGCGCCTCGAGAGTGGCACGACACACTGAGGACGATGCTTGCGGCTCTTGGGTTTGCTCCTTCGACTGCTGACCCGTCGTTGTTTCTACGCACTGACATGTTGCTGCCGCCGTTCTACGTCCTCGTGTACATCAACGAATTGGTCTTCGCCACTACTGGCACTGAGGCACTGGCCCTTGTGAAGTCTCAGCTGCAGAAGAGACACAATTGCACTGACCTGGGTGAGCTGCGCAGCTATCTTGGCTTGCAGATCACCCGGGACAGAGCACAGCGCACCATCACCTTGACTCAGTCACACATGGTGCACCAGGTCCTTCAGCGCTTCGGCTTCAAGTACTCCTCGCCACAGTCCACTCCTCTGCCTACTGGTCACTCGCTCTCAGCTCCACCTTTGGACGAGTCCATAGAGCCGAGTGGCCCATATTCAGAGCTTATGGGCTGCCTCATGTACCTGATGACCTGCACTCGACCTGACCTTGCCTACCCTCTTAGCATCCTAGCACGCTACGTTGCGCCCGGGAGACACCGACCAGAGCACTGGGAGGCCGCTAAGAGGGTGTTGCGCTACTTGTGCAGTACATCGGGCATGGGGCTCTTGCTTGGAGGACGGGGTCCAGTTGTCCTCACTGGACACGCAGACGCTTCTTGGGTTGACGACTTGGCTACGCAGCAGTAGTCACAGGGTTACACTTTCAACCTTGGCTCCGGATCTGTTTTTTGGCGGTCTACCCACTCGTCTTCTGTTCTTAGTTCCAGTTGTGAGGGTGAGATCTACGCAGGGGCCATGGCTGCACAGGAGTTACGCTTGCTCACCTACCTCCTGACCGACTTGGGGGAGCGGCCTCGTTCTTCTCCAGTTCTGTACGTAGACAACAAGGCCATGAGTGCCTTGTGTCAGGAGCACAGACTGGGGCACAGAACGAAGCACATCGCTCTGCGTTACTTCCTTGCTCAAGAGTTGCAGCAGCGTGGTGAGCTTCGTCTTGCTTACGTGGCCACTCGGGCCAACACTGCTGATATATTCACCAAGGCACTTCAGTCTGGTGATCATCAGCGTTTCTGTACTGTTTTAGGCCTTGTGCCTACTTTGCCTCACTTGCTCACTTCGTGACTTTGCTTGTACTGTGATCTATATATATACTTGCATCAGGGCCCAAAATATCAGGGTAAAATGCCCTGATTACCCTGGGGGCGGGCCGCTTTTTCAGAGTTACCCTCTCTAAATCAGGCTTCGTAGATTCTTACCCTTACCCAAAAAGGGTTGGTGTTTTTTTCCCCTGATTAGATTTTTAGTTAGCCTGACGGAATCAGGGTTGTGTGACAACTACCAAGTTACCGAAACTATTTTTAACGCGGATCAGCCCATTCTCTGCGTGGTGCCAAAATGTCCCACTCTCACACTGGCACCGTTGTCGCTGTTGACCACAGGCGGGAAACCGTGAAATGTTGTCGGCGGCTCGCCATGTGGCCTTATTGGCTGGCTTACCCACAGGACTGCCAACGCACCCCTGCATCGAGCCAAACCACGCCATGCCCACTACCAGGTGAGTAGAGTTGTGCGTCAAGGACAGGTTCTTGTTGTCCTACGCATCAACTTGCAGTCGCAGTGCAGCTGTACAAGCCATGCACTTCTCAAATTGTCTGAGAATCTGACCTTAAGAGGCCATGTGAGGTTCAAGCTCAACGAGGGGGTCTCTCGCTTGTTCTCCATTCTCATCCATTTTCAACTCATTCGTCAAACATGCCTGCTGGAGAGGCTGATCATCCTGGTAGCACGAGAAACAGCCTTTCCATGCTGGGAGTTTTTCCACACCTTAACGTAAACTACACCGTTCCTATGTCGCCGTCTCCTCGCGAATCGTCTCCAGAATGCGAGGTAGGAACCGTGTATCCGTTCCAACCATTAGACTCACCAAATGCGTGGGAGCCACACCCTTCCCTGGATCTTGTGCCCGGAGGTGGCGAGGGCCTTTCTAAGCCGCCAATTACTTCGCCTTCGACGGTCAGCAGCGCGCCCGACAAGCGATAGCGTGTGGGAGCAACGTACCAGCAGCAGACACTCTGGGGCGCCCCACCTCCCCGAAACGCGTTTACTCATAAACGGCCTGCACCTCCTGCCGAACCCAAGCCTCCCACCGCCTTGGCGGATAATGAGTACGAATCGGTAAAGAAGACTTTTGACTCTCAGTGGGCAGGTAGTTTCAAGTGGTTACGCTTTCTATTGGCAGGCCTTCATTGAAGTGTTTCATTTGTGTTAAGCACGGAGATCCCCTAGCGCACACAGCGTATGGGGCGAGGGGGGATGGTGCTCGAGATCTCCAGATCGGCAGCATCTGCACTCACTCAGCTACCCGTGCCCACAAGCAAGTAGTGGATAACCTGGAGAAATCGGAGGCGGAGAAAGCAAAGCAGGCCACTCTCACACGGTGGCAGATCACGAATTCTTCTACCCGACACATCATCCGTCTACTCCACATAGCGCTCTTCGTCTGCACGGCGGATGCTCCCATCGCCATGTTTGTCCCACTGTGCTGGTTTTTGGCGAAGGAAGGGTTACCAGACCTCCCTCCATCCGGTGGATACGGCTCATACTACACTGAGTAAGTGCTGGCTGGTGTTTGTGCACCTCTCTATTTGATTGATAAGCACTCACTCATTTTTACTCTATCTCTTATCGTTGGCAGTTACAGATTCAAGGAGAATCTGCGCGCCCTGTCGACTTATCTCCAAGAGACACAACGCCTTCACCTCCTCGAGTCCCCGTGGATAGGCATCTCCCTGGACGAGAGCACATATCGGGTGCATGGGAAGCACCCGACCTTACACGCTACCTTCTTCAAGCGCACATCTGTGGTTACTGAGTTTTTGACTCTCATCACTGTTGACCGTGCTGACGCTGCCTCCCTCACATCCGCGGTCATGCAGTATCTCACTGTGATCGGGGTCGACCTCCAGAAGATATCAAGCGTCGCCTCCGATGGTGCAAACGTGATGGTCGGCAAGAACAAGGGCGTCGTTACAAGGCTGCGAATGCGCATTCCTCACCTGGCCTCTACACACTGTATCGCCCATCGGTATGCACGTGTTGTGTCTGATTGATGCAGTGTTTGTTACATATGTTGCAGTTGTTAACAAGTTATTATGTTTCTGTGATAATGTACAGGGAGGCACTCACTGCCAGTGACGCCGCAAATGCTGTCCCTGAGCTTCGCATGATCGACAACGTCGTGCGCGCCTTCGCTAAACACATCGGCCGCAGCAGCGTGCACTACCAGAAGTTCCAAGAGCTGCAACGCATCTTCTGCCAGACGAGTTTGGAGGCGCAGGGGATCCACGAGGTCCGATGGCTCTCCCGTGGTGAAGCGGTACAGCGCCTGCTCGATGTTCTCCCTGCAGCTGTAGTGGTGTTGAAGGACTACAAGAAGGAGCTGTCCGAGGTGGTTACCTCGTTCAAGTTCCACTGGCTCATCCGCTTTCTTGCGGATGTGCTGTGGGAACTCATTGCCCTCAACAAGCGCTTCCAGCAACGCCAGGTAATAGCTTTTGCCACATGCATCTTGGTTCCCGCAACTATGCACGACCACGTACTGACTGCTTGTAGTGCCTGTATGCAGGTTGACGTCACCCTTGTTGCGCACATCGTGGAGCAAACAAGGATGCGTCTGAAGACCAGGTACTCCCTCCGTGACCCAGCCCACCACTTCGGCAGCGGGGATAAAATGCAGCTGCAAGAATTCATTAAGAGGCACCAGGCAATGGATAAGAGAGAGATGAAGGCGGAGGGTGTAGACGGGGACGGGAATCCCGTCTATTTTGTCTACGAGCTGCACGAGCATTGTCTGCCCGGACACGAAACTGATGGCGACGTGACAGCGTGCGTGGAGCTGTCGATCAAGTTTGTGCGTGCCGTGGACGTCAAGCTGGAGTGGCGGATGCGCGACCTGAACCTGCTGGAAGGAATGAAGCTGTTTCGGACAGCTTCGTACGTGTCTGACGACAGCAAGCGCGTGGAGACCTTCAAAAAGTGGCTGGGCCTTCTGCACAAGCTGCACAACCATAAGCTGCCTGGTAAGCCATAATAGGAGTATGCAATTGTGTTCCAATGTTTTGTCAATTGCATGTCTGTCGCGTTGGTGACAAGTGCACGTGGTGCTCACCGCTGCTCGTTGGACTAATGCCCCCCACTCCTACCCGTGTATGCGCGCGTCGCCCAAGTTTACACCTCGTACCCGCCCCATGCCAGGGTTCGACTACAAAAGGGACGGCCAGGATCTGTGGATGTTTACATCCACAATGTTCTCCCAGCACAACAACGAGGAGTTTCATCAGGCGCTGGGGAACATGCTGCGGGACGATGCGTGGCGTGTGTCCTTCCCCAACATCATGAGCATGTGGCAGTCAGTCGTCGTGCTGCCATTGAGCACGGTTGAATGCGAGCGGGGCTTCTCGAAGCAGAACCTGATCAAGACTTGGGGACGTGGCAGCCTTGGCAACACAAGCCTGGAGCACCTGATGCGGTGCTCTCTGCTGCGGTATGATGTCGACTGGTACAAGGTGGTCGCCATCTTCCGAGGAGAGAAGCTCAGACGATCCACCAAGGAGTTTGATGCCTCCAGGGCTAGCGATTCAGAGTTTGTAGAGGAAGTTGTAGGCAGTGGGGGTGGCACTGAGTAGTTGTGATGTTTGTGCAACCTTATTAATACTGAAGAAATTACGTACGGTAACAGACAAAGTAGTATTAGAAACAGGCTATCTGTAGAAATACCCTGCTCAAATCAGGCTACCATGCCAAAATCCTTGATTTACCCTTATGCAAATAGGGTATGGAAAATTTTACACAACGGGTCAGGGTAAAGAGGAGCTGCAACCCTGATTTGTCAGGGTGGGCCTAAACCAATTTTGGGGCCTGACCTGCATGCTTACACTTGCTAGGGTATGATCACTGTACTGTTTGTTTGTTCTCTTTTATATAACTCAGCATGTGAACTAGCCTTGTGACCATTTGCTTGTGCTCGGAATGTGTAGTGACTTAGTGATCCACCATGAGCTTGCTTGTTTTTCTTGATTGATATTGTGACCACTTGTTCTCCCCCACTTTGCCTATGGGGGTGTGTCAAAATGTTTTAGTGCTTACATTGTGTAGACTGTTAGTGGGGTAGACCATAAAGGGTACAACCAGGGCTGACTATTCAAAAAAATCCAGTCTGATGTTCTGGGGGCTCTGAAATTTTTTAGTCTGAGGCATATTTCCCAGAGAATGGCTACTCTGATTTTTCAGGTTCCGCAAAAACACAAGTCTGAAGTACTCAGAACACACTACAACCACTGCAGTACAGTACTGCCACGAATGTAGCACGTGGGGCGCAGCGCTAACCGACTTTGCTGCGCCAGCACAGAGTTTCCCTCGCTGACACCGGGTAGCTGCAGTGATGGTCCCTCGTGAGTGAAAGAGCGAGCCAAGTTGGCAGATTTCTAAAGGAAAATGGTGGCAAAAGTAGCCAAGGACAGATTCTGCGCGTGACAGCGCCATGAAGTGTGTTCGTACACTGGCAACATATGACGTACGTTAGCGGAATGTACGTAGAAATTACAGATCCACATTTCAGGATCCGTACTCCCTGTAGTATGAAGACCCATTATCGGTTAAGTCAGTAGTCTGAAAATCTCAGGATCCAAAACCAGGTAAGTCTGAGGTACTCATGTTTGAAAATCTTACAAGTCTGAAAAATCAGGATCCGTAGGAAAATACCCTGAGATTTCAGACAATCAGACTATTTTAGTCTGATAAAGTCAGCCCTGGGTACAACCCAATTAGGGTTAGTACTTGTACCCAACTTTCTGTTCAATGCATTCATTCTCGTTCAGTATTCTGACACTCCTGTCTGAAAAATAACTAATAGAATCAAAATAGAATCTCCAGCAGCCTCAACCACCACATGAAGATCAATGCCGTGTGAAGAGAAATACTCCAGTATGGATACGACAATTTCATTATTGCCAGTACAAATGGCAAGTCCAACGGCATGACATGTCTCATCTCATCATATCCAACGTTGTTGGCAAGAATGGTTGCCTGGCTGACAGGGTGAGAATGGCAGCTTATTTGGGGCTAGAATGGCTTCGGTTGTCAACACAAAAGGAGCTTTTCTTTGTGGAATTGCAAAATCAGCTTCAATCCACAATGCTCGAAACCCCACCTGCAAATGACGCGCACAGTGTATCAATCCATATGTGTGAGTAGCACAGTTGATCTTTCCTCCTCTCTAAAAAATCTCCACGCAAGAAAACCACAGGAAAATCTAACATGCTGGGTAAAGAATGCAGCATCCACACCAAAAAAATCTGTCACACAATCACCTTGGGGGAGTCGCACAGTCAGTCACCTTGTGACCTCTCACTACAGTCACCTTTGAAACACTGCAGTCACCTTGCGACCCTCCTTTTTCAGAAGTTGGGAATGTTGCCGATGGTTTATAAAAAAAAAAAAAAAAAAAAAAAAAAAAAACTTCATTGTAGTCCACCTTGGGAACGTCGCTGATGGTGGAGCTGAAGTGCCACAAGCCATTGTCGGAGTGCTGCTTGGGCGGCGAGACGGTGTGCAGGAAGAATGGCGTGGCCTGCACACACAGGTCAAACTTGCCTGCATACGTGCTGGGCAGTGTTGGCATGGGAGCCGTGCTGAGGGCAGGGGGAGGGGGGTGTTGGGAGGGTGGGGTGGGGGAGGATGAAGGGAGAGAGGCGAGCAGATGCAACAGAGGAAGAGGGGCGTGGCGTGCACACACACAGGTCGAACTTGCCTGCACACGTGCCGGAGAGGTGTCAGCAGGTGCAGAGGAAAAAGGACGTGGCCTGCACACACAGGTCGGACTTGCCTGCATACATGGCCGGTACCGATGGCATCATGCTGCCAGCAGTGGGAGGGAGGAGGAGAGGGTGAGATGGGGAACGTGGTGTTGAGAGGGTTGGGGGGATGAAGGGAGAGAGGGAAGCAGGCGCAGAGGAAAGAGGGATTGGGCTGCAGGAGCAGGACATACGCCATACCACTCAGCACCCCTTTGTACCACTCACCATCTCTTTGCACCACTTACCACCCCTTGGAGCCTCGCTGCAGCACGAAGCGGAAGTCTCGCCGCTCGCTGGCTGTGCGGCCAGTCCTGGTGGGAAGGGGGGGAGGGGGGAGGGGGGAGGGGGGAAATGGGGAAGGGGGAAGGGGGAAGGGGGAAAAGGGGAAGGGGAAAGGGGACAGGAGATGGTGTGCGAGATTTGGGCGGGGTTGAATGAAGAGAAGAACGACAAAAGGTATTCTAAAAGCCATAATTTACAACCGTTAAAGAATGACACCCATGAAACGTGCGATCCCATGAAACACACCAAAGGCAGAACAAGATGTTGAATGGCAGCAGCCGTACACTCACCCATCTTCCCTATAGCTTACTTCCCCTCATACCTCCTCCCCTCCCTTTCCCTCCCCCTCCCCCTCACCATGCTCTAACCGCCAGTGGCTTCCTGTCTGACGTGGCATGAATGGTGAACGTGGGCCAATCAAACCGCCACCTCAGCCGTGGCCAGTCGACAGCTGGCACCTCAGGCACGCAGCTCCAGGGATGTGCTGGCTGCCTCTGATTGATCAGCGCGTCTCCTTCTGACCCTGCCATCTCCCCTTCTCCTGTCTGAGCCTCTGCCGTTTCCCTTTCCTCCCGGGCAAACAGCCCCGTGCCCTCCGTTTTGTCAAAGCGTTTGCGGCGACGGGGAGAGGGGGCGGCGTTGGAGGGGCGCGTCCAGGTGAGGGAGGGGCGGGAGGAGGCGGGGAGAGAGGCGCAGGAGGAGTTGACGTGCAGGAGAGAGGCGAGGAAGGAGAGGGTTGCTTGGTTGGCCTGTAGACGGGCGTGGAGGGGTTAAAGAGGGGGGTTGAAGAGGGGGGTTGAAGAGGGGGGTTGGAGAGGGGGATTGGAGTGAGGGGTTGGAGAGGGGGGCTTTGAGGGATTTGCATGTGCTCACCCATTGGTTGACGTGCATCTGCAAGTGCTCACCCATTGGTTGACGTGGATCTGCATGTGCTCCGAGTTGGCCATTATCTTGAGCAGCTTCGGCTCGGGCAAGTCGTTCCACCAGATGTACCTGGCAGGGCAGGGTAGAAAGGGGAGAAAGGAGCGGGGAGAGAAGGAGGATGGAGGGGAGAGAGTGGGGAGAGAGTGGGGAGAGAGTGGGGGGAGAGTGGGGGGAGAGTGGGGGAAGAGTGGGGGAAGAGTGGGGGAAGAGTGGGGGAAGAGTGGGGGAAGAGTGGGGGAAGAGTGGGGGGAGAGTGGGGGAAGAGTGGGAGGAGAGTGGGGGGAGAGTGGGGGAAGAGTGGGAGGAGAGTGGGGGGAGAGTGGGGGGAGAGTGGGGGAAGAGTGGGAGGAGAGTGGGGGGAGAGTGGGGGGAGAGTGGGGGAAGAGTGGGAGGAGAGTGGGGGGAGAGTGGGGGGAGAGTGGGGGAAGAGTGGGAGGAGAGTGGGGGGAGAGTGGAGGAAGAGTGGGAGGAGAGTGGGGGGAGAGTGGGGGGAGAGTGGGGGAAGAGTGGGAGGAGCGTGGGGGGAGAGTGGCGGGAGAGTGGGGGAAAAGTGGGAGGAGAGTGGGGGGAGAGTGGGGGAAGAGTGGGAGGAGAGTGGGGGGAGAGTGGGGGGAGAGTGGGGGGAGAGTGGGGGAAGAGTGGGGGGAAGAGTGGGGGAAGAGTGGGGGAAGAGTGGGGGAAGAATGGGGGGAGAGTGGGGGAAGAGTGGGAGGAGAGTGGGGGAAGAGTGGGGGAAGAGTGGGAGGAGAGTGGGGGGAGAGTGGGGGGAGAGTGGGGGAAGAGTGGGAGGAGAGTGGGGTGAGAGTGGGGGGAGAGTGGGGGAAGAGTGGGAGGAGAGTGGGGGAGAGTGGGGGAAGAGTGGGAGGAGAGTGGGGGGAGAGTGGGGGGAGAGTGGGGGAGAGTGGGGGAAGAGTGGGGGGAGAGTGGGGGAAGAGTGGGGGGAGAGTGGGGGAAGAGTGGGGGGAGAGTGGGGGAAGAGTGGAGGGAGAGTGGGGGAAGAGTGGGGCAAGAGTGGGGGGAGAGTGGGGGAAGAGTGGGGGGAGAGTGGGGGAAGAGTGGGGGGAGAGTGGGGGAAGAGTGGGGAAGAGTGGGGAAGAGTGGGGAGAGAGTGCGGGAAGAGTGGGGGGAGAGTGGGGGGAGAGTGGGGGAGAGTGGGGGAGAGTGGGGGAAGAGTGGGAGGAGAGTGGGGGGAGAGTGGGGGGAGAATGGGGGGAGAGTGGGGGAAGAGTGGGGGGAGAGTGGGGAAGAGTGGGGGGAGAGTGGGGGAAGAGTGGGGGGAGAGTGGGGGAAGAGTGGGGCAAGAGTGGGGGGAGAGTGGGGGAAGAGTGGGGGAGAGTGGGGAAGAGTGGGGGGAGAGTGGGGAAGAGTGGGGGAAGAGTGGGGGAAGAGTGGGGGAGAGTGGGGGAGAGTGGGGAAGAGTGGGGGAGAGTGGGGGGAGAGTGGGGGAAGAGTGGGGGGAGAATGGGGGAAGAGTGGGGGGAGAGTGGGGGAAGAGTGGGGAAGAGTGGGGGAAGAGTGGAGGAAGAGTGGGGGAGAGTGGGGGAAGAGTGGGAGGAGAGTGGGGGGAGAGTGGGGGAAGAGTGGGAGGAGAGTGGGGGGAGAGTGGGGGAAGAGTGGGGAGAGTGGGGGGAGAGTGGGGGAAGAGTGGGGGGAGAGTGGGGGAAGAGTGGGGGGAGAGTGGGGGAAGAGTGGGGCAAGAGTGGGGGGAGAGTGGGGGAAGAGTGGGGGGAGAGTGGGGGAAGAGTGGGGGAGAGTGGGGGAAGAGTGGGGGGAGAGTGGGGGAAGAGTGGGAGGAGAGTGGGGGGAGAGTGGGGGAAGAGTGGGGGGAGAGTGGGGGAAGAGTGGGGGGGGAGTGGGGGAAGAGTGGGGGGAGTGGGGAAGAGTGGGGGGAGAGTGGGGGAAGAGTGGGGCAAGAGTGGGGGGAGAGTGGGGGAAGAGTGGGGGGAGAGTGGGGGAAGAGTGGGGGAGAGTGGGGGAAGAGTGGGGGGAGAATGGGGGAAGAGTGGGGGAAGAGTGGGGGAAGAGTGGAAGGGGGAGATGATCTTCAGCAGATTCGGCTCGGGCATGTCGTTCCACCAGATGTACCTGGCAGGGCAGGGTAGAGCAGGGAAAACGGGAATGTGACCCCACGCACCACATGTAACCGAGAAGGGGAGAAGCCGGGGGAGGGAGAGGAGAAAAGGGCTTGAGAAGGACCAGGGGAAAACGAGTGGTGGATGGGGGAGAATGGGCAGATAAAAAGGCGGAGCTCACGTGTGCTGCTGTTATCAACTCAAAAGGGGTGTGTGACCCCACTCACGCATCACCCCACTCACATGTGATCGGCCCTAAATCCTAAACCATGAACCCTAAGCCCCGCTCATGTGTCATTGGCCCACTCACGTGCCACCACCCCACTTTCGTGTTACAACCCTAAACTTCAAGGCCCGCTCATGTGTCATCCCACTCACGTGCCATCAACCATAAACCCCGAACCCTAAAACCCACTCACGTCACGTGCCATCAACCCTAAACCCTGAACCCTAAAACCCACTCACGTCACGTGCCATCAACCCGAAACCCTGAACCCTAAAACCCACTCACGTCACGTGCCATCAACCCTAAACCCTGAACCCTGAAACCCACTCACATCGCGTGCCATCAACCCTAAACCCTGAACCCTAAAGCCCACTCACATCACGTGCCATCAACCCTAAACCCTGAACCCTAAAACCCACTCACATCACGTGCCATCAACCCTAAACCATGAACCCTAAGCCCCGCTCATATGTCATTGGCCCACTCACGTGCCACCACCCCACTTTCGTGTCACAATCCTAAACTTCAAGGCCCGCTCATGTGTCATCCCACTCACGTGCCATCAACCATAAACCCTGAACCATAAAACCTACTCACGTCACGTGCCATCAACCCTAAACCCTGAACCCTAAAACCCACTCACGTCACGTGCCATCAACCCGAAACCCTGAACCATAAAACCCACTCACGTCACGTGCCATCAACCCTAAACCCTGAACCCTGAAACCCACTCACATCACGTGCCATCAACCCTAAACCCTGAACCCTAAAACCCACTCACATCACGTGCCATCAACCCTAAACCCTGAACCCTGAAACCCACTCACGTCACGTGCCATCAACCCTAAACCCTGAACCCTGAAACCCACTCACATCGCATGCCATCAACCCTAAACCCTGAACCCTAAAACCCACTCACATCACGTGCCATCAACCCTAAACCCTGAACCCTAAAACCCACTCACATCACGTGCCATCAACCCTAAACCATGAACCCTAAGCCCCGCTCATGTGTCATTGGCCCACTCACGTGCCACCACCCCACTTTCGTGTCACAACCCTAAACTTCAGGCCCGCTCATGTGTCATCCCACTCACGTGCCATCAACCATAAACCCTGAACCCTAAAACCCACTCACGTCACGTGCCATCAACCCTAAACCCTGAACCCTAAAACCCACTCACGTCACGTGCCATCAACCCGAAACCCTGAACCCTAAAACCCACTCACGTCACGTGCCATCAACCCTAAACCCTGAACCCTGAAACCCACTCACATCACGTGCCATCAACCCTAAACCCTGAACTCACATCACGTGCCATCAACCCTAAACCCTGAACCCTAAAACCCACTCACGTCACGTGCCATCAACCCTAAACCCTGAACCCTAAAACCCACTCACGTCACGTGCCATCAACCCGAAACCCTGAACCCTAAAACCCACTCCCGTCACGTGCCATCAACCCTAAACCCTGAACCCTGAAACCCACTCACATCACGTGCCATCAACCCTAAACCCTGAACCCTAAAACCCACTCACGTCACGTGCCATCAACCCTAAACCCTGAACCCTAAAACCCACTCACATCACGTGCCATCAACCCTAAACCCTGAACCCTAAAACCCACTCACATCACGTGCCATCAACCCTAAACCCTGAACCCTAAAACCCACTCACGTGTCATCGAGAGCCAGCACTTCATCGTTGGCTGCACTGACGAGCAGCTTGGGCATGGTGAGGCGCTCCCTGTAGTAGTATGGGTCTGTGTCCTCCTGCAGTCAGCCAGCCATGGGGTAATGTGGGCAGTAAGGGGTGATGAGCCAGGTAGAGAAGTGGACATGAGTGAGAGGAAACGAAGCGTCTGGGCATAGCAAGCACACGTTTAAGTCAAACCATTCTCTCTCGCACGTTCAGGTCAACGAGCCTTTGGAACTCAGGGGACTGCAGCTGGAAGGTGGCACCAAAGGTGGCATAGGGTAGGGGGCACCCAAAAGTGGCAGAGGTGGCACCAAAGGTAGCATAGGTGGCACCAAAACTCGTATTTGAAAGACACACAACTGAATAATGCCGTACACCACCTATGCCACCTTTGATGCCACCTCTGCCAACCTTAGGGTCACTTATGCCACCTTCGGTGCCACCCATGCCACCTTTAGTACCACAGATACCACCTTTTGGTGCCAACCGTACCACCTTGGTGCTGCCTATGTCACTTTTGGTACCACCCATGCCACCTTTGGTGCCACCTATGCCCCATCTCTCTCACTCTCTCCCACCCGGTGCTTTATCTGTCACCCGGTGCTTACAGTGAGCCGCTGGAACTGGGGCGACTGCAGCTGGGAGGTGACATTGAAGATGGCATAGAACTTGAGAATGACCGGCCACGCGCCCAGCGAGTCATGCAGGTGCTGGAAGTTGCGTCCAAAGTCAAGCAGGTCAAAGCCATACGCCACTATGCCCACCACCCTCTGCAGTGGGAAGACAAAAAAAAAAACAAACAAACAAAACAGAACAAAAAAGAACGTGAAAAAGGAAAAAGAACACACACACACACGCACACGCACACGCACACGCACACGCACACGCACACGCACACGCACACGCACACACACACACACACACACACACACACACACAGAGTGACGCGAGCATTCATGGAGAAGCGGTTGAGTTAAATAATTATAATAAATCAACGCTGGGTTGGGATGTGTCCCTGGGAGTCAAGCAAGAGTGCGCTGCAAACCATCACCCCATTCCTCTTGACAATCCCTTGCTGCACACCCCTGCTTGCAATGGTAGACCATGTGATGCCATGCAATGGTAGACCGTGTGATGCCATGCAATGGTAGACCATGTGATGCCATGCAATGGTAGACCATGTGATGCCATGCAATGGTAGACCATGTGATGCCATGCAATGGTAGACCATGTGATGCCATGCAATGGTAGACCATGTGATGCCATGCAATGGTAGACCATGTGATGCCATGCAATGGTAGACCATGTGATGCCATGCAATGGTAGACCATGTGATGCCATGCAATGGTAGACCATGTGATGCCATGCAATGGTAGACCATGTGATGCCAGGCAATGGTAGACCATGTGATGCCATGCAATGGTAGACCATGTGATGCCATGCAATGGTAGACCATGTGATGCCATGCAATGGTAGACCATGTGATGCCATGCAATGGTAGACCATGTGATGCCATGCAATGGTAGACCATGTGATGCCATGCAATGGTAGACCATGTGATGCCATGCAATGGTAGACCATGTGATGCCATGCAATGGTAGACCATGTGATGCCATGCAATGGTAGACCATGTGATGCCATGCAATGGTAGACCATGTGATGCCATGCAATGGTAGACCATGTGATGCCATGCAATGGTAGACCATGTGATGCCAGGCAATGGTAGACCATGTGATGCCATGCAATGGTAGACCATGTGATGCCATGCAATGGTAGACCATGTGATGCCATGCAATGGTAGACCATGTGATGCCATGCAATGGTAGACCATGTGATGCCATGCAATGGTAGACCATGTGATGCCATGCAATGGTAGACCATGTGATGCCATGCAATGGTAGACCATGTGATGCCATGCAATGGTAGACCATGTGATGCCATGCAATGGTAGACCATGTGATGCCAGGCAATGGTAGACCATGTGATGCCATGCAATGGTAGACCATGTGATGCCATGTAATGGTAGACCATGTGATGCCATGCAATGGTAGACCATGTGATGCCATGCAATGGTAGACCATGTGATGCCATGCAATGGTAGACCATGTGATGCCATGCAATGGTAGACCATGTGATGCCATGCAATGGTAGACCATGTGATGCCATGCAATGGTAGACCATGTGATGCCATGCAATGGTAGACCATGTGATGCCATGCAATGGTAGACCATGTGATGCCATGCAATGGTAGACCATGTGATGCCATGCAATGGTAGACCATGTGATGCCATGCAATGGTAGACCATGTGATGCCATGCAATGGTAGACCATGTGATGCCATGCAATGGTAGACCATGTGATGCCATGCAATGGTAGACCATGTGATGCCATGCAATGGTAGACCGTGTGATGCCATGCAATGGTAGACCATGTGATGCCATGCAATGGTAGACCATGTGATGCCATGCAATGGTAGACCATGTGATGCCATGCAATGGTAGACCATGTGATGCCATGCAATGGTAGACCATGTGATGCCATGCAATGGTAGACCATGTGATGCCATGCAATGGTAGACCATGTGATGCCATGCAATGGTAGACCATGTGATGCCATGCAATGGTAGACCGTGTGATGCCATGCAATGGTAGACCATGTGATGCCATGCAATGGTAGACCATGTGATGCCATGCAATGGTAGACCATGTGATGCCATGCAATGGTAGACCATGTGATGCCATGCAATGGTAGACCATGTGATGCCATGCAATGGTAGACCATGTGATGCCATGCAATGGTAGACCATGTGATGCCATGCAATGGTAGACCATGTGATGCCATGCAATGGTAGACCATGTGATGCCATGCAATGGTAGACCGTGTGATGCCATGCAATGGTAGACCATGTGATGCCATGCAATGGTAGACCATGTGATGCCATGCAATGGTAGACCATGTGATGCCATGCAATGGTAGACCATGTGATGCCATGCAATGGTAGACCATGTGATGCCATGCAATGGTAGACCATGTGATGCCATGCAATGGTAGACCGTGTGATGCCATGCAATGGTAGACCATGTGATGCCATGCAATGGTAGACCATGTGATGCCATGCAATGGTAGACCATGTGATGCCATGCAATGGTAGACCATGTGATGCCATGCAATGGTAGACCATGTGATGCCATGCAATGGTAGACCATGTGATTCCATGCAATGGTAGACCATGTGATGCCATGCAATGGTAGACCATGTGATGCCATGCAATGGTAGACCATGTGATGCCATGCAATGGTAGACCGTGTGATGCCATGCAATGGTAGACCATGTGATGCCATGCAGGTGGGTCCAACAGGCATGCCCGCCCTTCTCACCTTATCCATGGCTGCCGTCAGCCATGCCATCAGTCCTCTCTTGCTCACTCCCATGAGCACAAAGCCTTCCACCTGTTCCATGCCATCCCACACACCCCGCGTCCCACTTCCCATCCCACACACCCCGTGTCCCACTTCCCATCCCACACACCCCGCGTCCCACTTCCCATCCCACACACCCCGCGTCCCACTTCCCATCCCACACACCCCGTGTCCCACTTCCCATCCCACACACCCCGCGTCCCACTTCCCATCCCACACACCCCGTGTCCCACCCACTTCCCATGCCCCACTTCCCATCCCACACATCCAATGCCAAAAACCGCAGACCACTCGGCACATGCTACACACCAACATGACACAGGCATCCAAAGCCAGACCACACACCACCACATCACATTCCATGTTTGATACATGCCACATCAAAATCGAGAGGTGTAAAGTGTATGTACAATCTAACTAACCAGAGCATACCCACAGTCCAGTCAGCTCATGACCTAAGTTGCAGAAGACACGTCTAGCGTCTTAGACGCTGGACGCGCGTCTTGGGCAGATTAGACACTGGGATAGACACAAGCCCGGACAGGCCAAAAAAAAAATAGTACGGGCAGCCAAAAAAAAACTTCTATAGGGCATGGGGAGGGGGAGGGGGAATGGGATGAAGACGACATCTGGGTATAGCAGACGAATTAGGTATGGGACATTCACGAGATCCAGTTGATCGAGATCTAGAACTTCTAGATCTAACATTGACGCTCTCAATTTCATATCTCAATTTGGTTGGGTTTTCTAGATTCAGTGCGGTGAAGATCGGTAATGGGAGGGGGAATTGGTGGGTCACGAAATGGTTCACAAATCTGTGGGCTGCAGGGTGCGAATTCCAATTTCGACCTAGCTTTCCGTTTCTCAAATTCTCCCACACCTCCTACGACGCTCTTACTAGAATGTCTTTATTTGGTCAGCTCGTTGTAGAGCAGAGGCGCGCAACACTTTAGTCATAGCTTTTAATACTATTATGGGGGTTGGGGCTAAAAGCTAGGTTTGGGGGTTGTTTTTCAAGATCGAAATGGGTGGGAGGGGGTTGAAATTTTGCGAAATTGAATTTCGCGACGAAATCGCGACATTCAATTTCGCGCGCGCGAATTTTTTTCCGGGCTGACCGAAAAAATTCCCCCCATGCGTCTAGCGTCTTCGCGAGCATCTTCTACAACTTAGCTCATGAATAGTCCGTGACTGTAACACATTGTACTGACTGGGACGTCACAAGCGGCAGTGACTGGGCGGCAAGTGGCAGTGACCAGAGCAGCAGTGAGCGGCAGCAAGCAGAGCAACAGTGACCGGCAGCAAGCAGAGCAGCAGTGAGCAGCAGCAAGCAGAGCAGCAGTGAGCGGCAGCAAGCAGAGCAGCAGTGAGCGGCAGCAAGTAGAGCAGCAGTGACCGGCAGTAAGCAGAGCAGCAGTGACCGGCAGCAAGCAGAGCAGCAGTGAGCGGCAGAAAGCAGAGCAGCAGTGAGCGGCAGCAAGCAGAGCAGCAGTGAGCGGCAGCAAGCAGAGCAGCAGTGAGCGGTAGCAAGCAGAGCAGCAGTGACCGGCAACAAGCAGAGCAGCAGTGACCGGCAGCAAGCAGAGCAGCAGTGACCGGCAGCAAGCAGAGCAGCAGTGAGCGGCAGCAAGCAGAGCAGCAGTGAGCGGCAGCAAGCAGAGCAGCAGTGAGCGGCAGCAAGCAGAGCAGCAGTGACCGGCAGCAAGCAGAGCAGCAGTGAGCGGCAGCAAGCAGAGCAGCAGTGAGCGGCAGCAAGCAGAGCAGCAGTGAGCGGCAGCAAGCAGAGCAGCAGTGAGTGGCAGCAACCAGAGCGGCAGTGACTGACCGGTAGGTGGGGGAAGATCTCTCGGGAGGCGAGCTGCAGCGCATCCATTCCCCTGACGATGGACTTGGCCATGGGCATTGAGAGCTGCCACTCTATCTCATCCGGATGCTTCAACGCCATTGCAAAGGAGACTGGAATTGGGGAACAGGGGTGGATGGATGGATGGATGGATGGATGGATGGATGGATGGATGGATGGATGGATGGATGGATGGATGGATGGATGGATGGATGGATGGATGGATGGATGGATGGACGGACGGACGGACGGACGGACGGACGGACGGATGGATAACATGTGAACAACTTGGATTGCTTTGTACATTTACACATTTATGAATGGTAAAACACCCTAAATTTGTATGGACAAGTACACGTGCGGAAGCATACATTCACACATGTCAACGTGGCTGATGTTTATGCGTGCGTGCGTAAGAAATATCCATAAACACAAACACACATAGGCCTGAACACGAACACACATCACCATAAACTCATTCACATGCCCACACCTCACTCGCACGCCATCACCTCAATAACTCACTCACTCACTCACTCACTCACTCATACACACGTCACCACCTCACTCACTCACTCAATCCCTCACACGCCATCTCACCTCACTCACTCACTCACCCACCCACAGACACGCCATCACCTCACTCACTCACTCAATCACTCACTCACCATCTCGCCTCACTCTCTCACTCACTCACACGTCATCACCTCACTCACTCACTCACACGCCATCACCTCACTCACTCACTCACAAGCCATCACTTCTCTCACTCACCCACTCACACACACGACACGCCATCACCTCACTTAGGCATGAGCAGGAGGCCCGACCCGGCCCGGCCTAAAACCCGACCCGAGCAGGGAACTCGGGCCGGGTCGGGACGGGCTTTTGGCCCGGATTGACCTGACCCGTATTCGGGTCAGGAACTGGGAACTCGGGTCGGGTCAGGCTCGACCCGGTTTCGACCCTGGGAAAAACCCTAACATCAGTCTCGCGGAACCTACCTAACTTCACTTCGACATGCTAGGGTTGGACTAAGCTCAATGCGGTGAGCTGTGAAATTGCACTAGGTGGTTGGGTTGTGTAGATCCAGTGCGGTGACTAGTGGTAAGTGGTGGCAAATTGGTTGGGATTTTTTGCTCCAGCAAATTTGACGGGGAGGAGGGAGTTCCTCGCTCCCTCACAGCGAAATTAGGTTGACCAGCGAAATCGCCGATCTGCATAGGGGGCGGTAGACATGAGCACAAGGGCGAACACCTGTTCGGTTCGCCTCGAACGTGTTCGAGGCGAACCGAACAGGTTTGTTTTTTTTGCTTAAATTGTTCGCCGAACAGTGTTCGATGTTCGCCCGAACACGTTCGTGTTCGGGCCGCTGCTGCAATTTGCCCCGCGACGAACACGAACGTGTTCGATGTTCGCCCGAACATGCCTTCACAGGCGAACGGCGAACACGTGTTTTTGCTTAAAGTGTTCGCCGAACCGAACAGTGTTCGGTTCGGCAAACGGATGCGTTCGTCTAGGGGCGAACACGAACATGTTCGTGTTCGCCCCTTGCTCATCCCTAGGGGGCGGGCCCGACCCGAGATCGGGTTAACCCTGACCCGACCCTGTACCCCCGGGTCGGGTCAGGGTACTCAACACCCTGGCCCGAGGCTGGCCCGACCCGACCCGGCCAAGTCGGGTCGGGCCGGGCAAAATGCTCATGCAAAACCTCACTCACTCACACGTCATCACCTCACTCACTCACACAGCTAAGTTGGAATATACGCGTATTTCGTATATACGCGTATCATATATACGCTAGCGTATATACGCTATCCGCTTAGGGTTTCGGTTTGGAGATACGCTTTTTTCGCGCAGAGAAAAAGCTTTCCGGGCAGGGTGAAATTAAAGTACTCCCTATTCTCACTAAGGCTTGCCCTAGCATAATCCTGAATCCGAATGACGAGTGCAATGGGAGGTGGAGTAGACATAATAGCTAGAAAGCGAAGTAGCGTGAACTCTGGTGAAAGCGGGAACGAAATGACCAGTTAGGGTTAGCCAACAGGGCTGGCTGGTAAGTACCATGAGATTTGTTGGGGGGAATATCTCAGCGGAAACGGGTCGTCAAGCCTGACGACCTGTTGACGACTTGACGACATGCTGCCCCGGGCAGAAAAAAACTAAAACCCTCTCGGATGGAGGCATCAACCCTAAATCCATGCCTCCATGTGTTTAGGGTTGATGCCTCCCTGACCGGATGCATGCCCGAATGGGTTTTATTTTGTTTGCCCGCGGGCAGCGAGCTCCCCCGGGCGGACTCGCTTGTCCGCTGAGATATATTCGGTGGTTAATTTTGACAGGTTGGAGTTTGTAGATAAAGTGGGGTTCGATGCGGTGGAAGGGATGGATTTCAAGGGCTAGATGGGATCTGAGATTCAACATTTGCCTGACGACTTCGAAGTCAGATCCCCGTTTGCCTATACCGCAGATTTGAATTTCGACTACGGCGAAATGCTCACCTAGGAAATCCGCATCTTTTTTGCGATTTTTTTTCGCATCTTTTTTGGGCAGCCCTAAAACTTTTCTGAGAGCGTATAGCGTATCCGCTAGCGTTTAGCGGATAGCGTATGTACGCTAGCGTACATACGCTATACGCTTAATGTGTTAAGCGTGTATTCCAACTAAGTCACACAGCACCTCACTCACGCACTAACTCACTCACACATCACTTCACTCACTCACATCATCACCTCACTCCTAAGTTGGATATTACGCCTACGTTTACGTACGTTTTACGTTACGTGTGCAGAGCTGAAAATTGTTTACGTTTGCGGGCAGATTACAACTGTTTTTGGGCTGCCCAACAACCTTGTGCCCTCGTTTTTGCTGTAGATCTGGTTGTTTCTTGCACAACCAAAGGGTGGCGCGACGATGTTTCGACCAACGCCCATATAGTTTGTGGTGATGGGTTTCATGTGTGCTGTTTATTCACACCGTTGGCACATTAATGTGTCTCGCATCATGCCTCTTGTCCCACTCCTGTAGTCGACGGCTCTTCTTGGCAATTTGTTTCCCTGCCCGGATATATGTTACGCGTATTTACGCGTACGTACGCGTACGTTTACGTTTACGAGTAATATTAGGATTACGCGGGTCCAAATACGTACGGACCCAACTTAGCCTCACTCACTCACTCACTCACACGCCATGAGCTCGTCCTCTTCCAGCTCTTCAAACTTGCCCGGCCCGTTAGGCCCCACATAGAATGATATCGGCTCCATTGGCTGCTGATGCAGCACTGCTCCCAGAATCCCCATCTCCACTACCAGGCTGCCACGTGGCATGGCATGGACCATGCACAAGAGAAGCGGAAGTAGGGGGATGGGATACGTGGTGGGTGAGGAGGCGACGATGCACATTTCAGCGGGCTTGAAAACGATTCGAGATGCCCCACTCCATTGCCAGACTGACCGGTGTGGAGCTGAATAACAGACGAGATGATGAGATGAGAGTGAGAGGTAATTAAAAAAACGAGAAACAATCAACGCAACATCATCATGTAAGGCGTTTACCTGACCTGAGAGGCTGCCTGCCAGACTGCCAGTCACCATCGCCTACTCCCCCATGATGATCCGTGCACCATTCTCAGCTCGCATGTCCGGCTCTCCTGTCTCATCGCGCAGCCAAGCCCTTCCCGTATACCAAAGCCGTGAGCAATAGTAGAGCCATCAGGTTGGTGCCATCATGCCAAGCCATCGTTTTGATACGTACACGGGGAGCCATGCCATGCGGATTTGACTCAAAAACCCCCTTCTCATCACGCCAAGCCCTTACGGGGCGAAGGCAGCACGTACGGGGCGAAGGCAGCACGTACGGGGCGAAGGCAGCGGTGAACATCTCGTGCTTGTCTGGCACGTGGTGGTAGTGGAACTGCGACCACCCCGACCCGATCACCAATAGCACGAGCCCCTTGTGCGCGTTCTGCATGTCGTCCGGCGCCTGTGTGGAGTGGAGGAGTGCATTGCGAGCAGCGAGGGGGATGCAAAAGGGAGTGTTGAGTAGAGTCCACCCCGACCCGATCACAAACAGCACGAGCCCTTTGTTTGCATGGTGCATGTCGTCAGGCGCCTGTGGGAACGGTGCATGACGACAAGGGGGAGACAACAGGAAAGTTTATAATAACTCCTTGAATAAATCGGACAATCAAGAGAAGGTGGTGGTGAGTGGCTTGGCCAAAGCAATCATACCCTAGTTACAATCCACGTCTGACAGTTACAAACACGTTCCCACCGGGCTCATCTCATATTACACCCACCTTTCACGATCTCAATCAGTTACCATGTTACCATCGCAGCACTGCGTCTTACAATCACGGTCATCCAATGCCACCATTGGATACGGTTCGTAACGGTCCTGTTGAACCAGCGGTGTGTGGTAACCCGCAAAATGTAACCCGTCCACCACCCCTTGGGGGCCTTGTCTCGCATGCGATTGGCCGAGTCCTCCCACCTGCTCCAACCAACGTCCCGATTCATCCGCGTTAGTAACAGTTTCTCATTACACGTAGACGCGTACGCAAATGCAGCAAGAGAAATGCATTTGAGGAGAATAGCTGTATCGCATTAGCTAGTGAAGCAGGAGACAGTTCACTTAGAACCGTTTCAAGAGTTCAAGTTCACCTCTATTCACCACAATATCCCCGATATAAGCTCACCAGATTTCTGACGGATCCTGATCGGTATAAATGTATCGATCCAGTCGCTTCTCGCGACAGTTCCTCGCAACTTCGCAACCACTCTAGGGAAAGCCGAGGGAGGTGACTCAGGGCCGCTGGGGAAGAACGACGGCCAGAATGGCAGCGCGAAGCCTGGCGATAGGAGAAATGCGACCGCTGAAATTGATGCGACGATTGCGACGGCTGCGACGAGAGAAGCTGCTCTTTGCGACCTAATCAAGTAGAACCGCGTGAGCCAGCGACTAATGATTGACCTGTGCGGGCGAACCATGGCGGCTCACGACGATTCGCGGACAGACATTTCCTATCACGGCGCGTATTCGGGCACAAGCATCTCACTGACCAATGCGCTACGTACAGCTGTGCTCGGCTGTGTGGTGCTGGGATTCCATGGCTCATCCTGAGCTCGGATCGGTGCATTGGGGTTCAAACGGTCATTTCAACAAGTCCCTTGAAAAAATAGGTAACATGTGGTTTCCAATATCTCAAAATTGAATTATATACACTTTGAATTATATACCTAAGTCCGCTAAGGAATAGCGGAGTCGACTAAGCCAAGGATGAAACGCAGTGGAAGACTATGGCAATACATCTCACTCGGTAGCGTCGGTAGTGCTCGGTAGCGCTACCGTTTCGCTAGACGACACTACCGAGTGAGTCAGCATTCTGACCGCGGGCAGAAAAAACTAAAACCCATTCGGACTACATGCCAATCAGGAGCCTCAACCCTAAATTTTTTGGGGTTGATGACTCCCGCATGGCATGCCTTCCGAGTGGGTTTTATTTTTTTTCTTGCCCGCTGACTCATTGCACTGCCTGCGTTATCCAAACGAGCTTACCGTGTCCCCCTGGGTAGAAGCGCAGGTGCGATTCTCAATTGTCATGCAAAAATCTCAAAGTAGTAATTAGCGGAAGTGATGATCGAGTAGTAGGGCAAGAGATACCGTATTACCCCGGATAGTAGCGCATATGCGCTTATAATAAAATCAGTTTTTTTAAGGGGGGCGCTTGTCTGTCAGGGCCTCAGATATCAGGAAAAAAACCCTGAAATTCATGATTTTGGCAGTCCATTCTCAAACTACCCTCAAAAACCAGTGTTAAGATTTTTGTGGGACTGATCTTTCAGCCTTTTTTGTGAGGCCACACTGAAATTTCAGTTTTTTTTTTCCAAGTACACTGATGCCACAACGTTGAAACGAAACTAACACTGAAAGCGATTCTTGCCTGTGTCGTGTGGATTTGACCGCAATTACAGGGAATCTCAGATTCCTGTGGTGTAGGCACCGCGGGGCGAGACGAACCTGTGAAATTTTGCCTCAAATTCACGATTGAGAGGTGCTTTGTTGGCGCGGCGCCACACATCATTGGGCCGTTTTGCTGCAACATCTTTTCTTGGCCAATCCGAACGTGGCCAGTGGCCACCATGTGGTGCTGGAGGGCTGCCAACGTTCCTGCCCCGTTGACAACCCAGCCCATGCACCGTGGTTGCTATCCAAGGGCCCCTTCTTCTCCAAGCTTTGCATCCGAAGCTGGGTTTCCCCCTTTCTTCCTAGTGTACCACCAAGAGGCAGCCAGCCGTGGCTTGTGCTTTTTCTGGAAACAATCCCTCTCGTTGTCGCTAGCTTAGATTGTCAGAATCCTAGGCAAAGTTGGTATTGAATGTCGAGAGTGTTGGTACAAAAATGGAACCTAAGGGGTTGTACCCCACAGTGAGTACCCCACTAAAGCCTATCTAAACTACAACATATAAACATATGTTTGACATAGATGTGAGGCCATCCCCGCTGCTTACCATGGTGGAACACCTTGACGGCACGGAAACAAACGGCGAACACGGCGGTCAGGCGCATCGCCAGCCGCCTGTAGTCCGTTCTCAAGCAGTTACGGGCCTCGATTTATTGTTTTCGAGCATAGCGGAAGTCAATGACAACGAGAAGCCACCCGATCCCGAGCCGCCCGACAAAATCCCGTTCGAACACATCGATGAGGAGGGTTGGTGTGCATCCCCGACAGCGCCAGTCACGGAGCAGGACAGCTCGCCGCCTCCAGCTGAAAAACTGGCTCCCGAACCCGTGACCAAGAAATCCAGCCGATACATGCAGTCAACGCTGCCATGGTTTACAAAGGGCGCTGACGATGGAGCTACCCCGCCTTCGCCAGCCGACCAACGGTCGTCGCCCGTGATTGCCGGCCCACAGGAGTCGCCATCGGTTCCTGGTCCTTCTAAGTGTTAAAGTTTAGAAGAAAGAGAAGAAGAGGGATTGCACTAGCAAGAATGAGGATACAAATAGCAAACCCTAGAAGGGTTGTACTCGCTATAGAGCACCCCACTACAGGCTAGAGCATAAGATAACATTCTGACACACCCCCATAGCCAAAGTGGGGTGTAATCAGCAGAGTAAGCAAGGGAGTACAAGCTCAGGGTGGATCACAATGTCACCACACATTCTGAGCACAAGTTCAAGAAGCAATAGTTTAAGTTCACAATTATGAGCAAAGCTAGTGGTAGTCACAACGGGCAAGTGAGGAGGAGGAGAGAGAGTGAGAGGAGAGGAGATAGGAGGCGACGGCTGAAGCTGCAGACACACGGGCAACAGGAGGCAGACTGGCACAGCGGCTACCGGACTAAGCGCCCGGACTACAGGAGTAACAGGCCCCGCGGCTAAAGTAGCGGCAGACGAGCAACGGACCCACGGGCGGCTGGCACAGCTGGCTACGACTGGGCTACCGGACGAATTCCCCGGAATACAGGTGCTGCTGGCGACACGACGGCAACCTCCATTCAGCTTCCCCAAACTATCCCACTCCCCCCTGGCACATACCCGCTGCTACACCGCTAGCTCCACTCCCCCTTCACCCCCCCTTAGTACCACTCCACCGGCTCCAACACGTCCACCCCCCCTCAGCGTTAGCTGCAGCAGTGGGAGACGAAGGAGGAGGAGGAGCAGGCGACGCCACACACCCGCCACCCCCCAACCGCCACCCCCCAACCGCCACCCCCCAAACCCTAAAAACAGGGTAGGGAGGTAGGGGGGGGGGGGGGCAACGCGCGGCCCCCCAGTAGACTCCCCTCCCGTCGCCTGTCGAGGCGACCCTGGGGGGGGCCGCTTGCGGGGCCGGGGCCGCAGGCGGGGACGGGGCCGGGGCCGGGGGCGGTGCGCCGCGACGGGTCCCCGTCGCCCGTCGCGACGCCACCAGAGGGCGACGCGGCGAACGACGGGGCATAAGCCCGTCGCGCGCCTCGGGGCGCACAGCGGGCAGAGAACCGCCGCGCGCCTCGGGGCGCACGGCGGGCAGAAAACCGCCGCGCGCCTCGGGGCGCACGGCGGGAAGAAAAAGTGCCGCACGCCAGGGGGCGTGCGGCTCAGCGAGTAGTGAAAGGTAGTTGCAGCGGAAGCAACAAGGTGGTGAGCCCACCCACAGGATCGATCCAAGGGGATCGACCTGCTCTGATAGCATGTTAAAAGTTTAGGAGAAAGAGAAGAAGAGGGATTGCACTAGCAAGAATGAGGATACAAATAGCAAACCCTAGAAGGGTTGTACTCGCTATAGAGCACCCCACTACAGGCTAGAGCATAAGATAACATTCTGACACTAAGCAGTCAGGACGCAACGTGATTTACGCTGAGTCTCTGTATAAGTACAAGACCGTGTTATAGTTACAATAGGCTTGAATGTGCCTAAAACGAAAGATAGAGAGCACAGACGGATTTCTGCACAGCGGCTTCAAACGTTGATAGCGTTCTGCTCACAGCTGCAAATGACTTGATTCAAATTGGATCTGGAGCGCCTTCAAGTCGTCTACAATTAGCAATTTAGATTGCACGATTTGATAAAGAATTGACGACACAGCGTCGGTTTGAACGAACGGTACTATGGCAGCCACTATAGTCTTAGAACACAAGATAGGAAGAGTTACGAGTTGGGAATGACTCCCAGCTCCTACAAACCCCAAGAGCCGAGGTACAGTGATGTGGAACAGTGCCACACTGTCCACAACCACGAAGGGTCTCGAAACTACCCTTCACTAGGGCCTACACCAAGTGAAATGTTACACTACACAAAGTAATGTAACTATCTTCAATATCTTGAGGTGTACCCTTTTGGCGAGCTTCGAAATCACTTGAGGCTTGACACCAAGGCTCGGGCTCTTCATCACAAACTCATCCTTGAGTTCTTGATGGGTCTGCTGCACACACCTGCGACACGCCGAACGTTCGACACAGGACAAAATAGAAACCGCGCACGACAAAATAGAAACCGCGCGCGAGACACAAACGACCGCGTAACACGCGTCTAGCGATAACTCGCTATTGACTCGACACACACACTCGACATCATGACTCAACATTCACACACAATTATAAGCATGAAATATATATTATCCCATGCTCTCATACCATTCCATACACACACACATTCACGCACACGGACAACAAGCCGAGTGCAAACCGTAGGGTTGCACCAACAAACTCCCCCTCGGGTTGTTGGCCTTAGGATATGTTGCTCTCTCAGTTCAGAGCCATCCCAGCCAGCTTGCAACACTTCCAATGCTGCTGCTCCACCAGCCTCTTGGTCATCATGTCAGCCGGCTGCCCCGTGGTCTTCACGTAGCGCAACTCAACTTCACCCGCGGTTACCATGCTCCTCGTCCAATGCCACTTCACCCTCATGTGCTTCGTGAGTCCATGCAACACAGGGTTCTTAGCAAGAGCAATGGCACCCTGGCTGTCACAGTACAGTGGGGTAGGTCCTTGCTGCTCCTCCCCCAATT